CCTGGTTCCCCCGGGATTCGAACCCAGAACCCTCTTGCTGGGAGGCGACAGTGCTAACCACCACACCACCGTGCCGCCCTATGTGGTGCTATATAAATAAAATTTAATTGAATTTAATTTTAATTCCAAAGTTTGAACATACTTCCAATTACGTAGAATAGTTCTTAACGTTGTGATACAGTAGAGTTTTACCACAGTAAATGCCTTTTATGATATGCTTGGTACCACTGACTGGTCTACAAGTAAGCAAAGTCTGGAATCAGCAAGCAGTGAGAAAACCCTGCCATTCTTCTAATATTCAAAGGATTTTACACCAAAATGGGTGAACATAAGAACACTCCCAGAGCATATGGAGATATGTACCATCTTTTTCCTTGAACTTCCAAGATAAGCCATTTTCAGCAATAACCATCCTATGAAGTCTAGAGGGAGAAAAGCAGTACCTGTGTACAACTTTATAGTGGATAAATGTTCATCTTGCTTCCCTGATGTTTTTACCCACATTTGACATAATATTTGCCATATTAATTTCAGACTACAACAATTATCTACAGTTCCATCAATGATTAGGTTATAACACACAGATGCAGTATGTGCTATATGTGGTTGCTGTAAGTAAATAAGCACAGGGTTCTCATTACAATTCAATTTGTCTCCAACACAATGTCTGATTGGCAAGTATTTCCAAAAATGCCCTTTTCCTTCTATATTTTATTTTCCCACTAAGTCGGAGTATGACATAAGTTGTCCATCTACATATAGATCTTTCACTGTTGCTATACCTTTAAGAAGCCACTGTTTCCAAAACACCATTCTCTTCTAATGCGAATGTCCGGGTTGTTCCACAATGATGCATAGGATTGTCTGTAGTGTGACAGTTTAAGGAGTTTATGGATTTTAGACCAAACATATCATGAGTGTTAAATCACTGGGTTTGGCTCCTTTATCAGTCCAGGGCGTTGTGAAAGAATGTCCAAGGGATTGCATGGACTTTGTTCGAATTTGACCCAGTCCAGGTCTGAGTCAGTATTTCTCCAGTTTTTTGCAAGCTGCACCATTTCATAAGAAAGGTCATACATTTTCACATCTGGTAGTCCAAGTCCTCCTTTATCTTTCAATGCCTACATTTGACTAATTTTAATGCTGGGTCTTTTTCCTTCCCACAGAAAGTCCTTAACAATGTTGTCATATCTCCTGAAGATGATGTCTGGAATTTTCAAGGGCAACATCATAGATATGTAGTTGAACTGCGGAGCTACAACCATTTTGATTACGTTCAACTTTCCCCATAGAGTTAGTTTAAGGTGCTTCCATTCTTCTACATTATGTTGTATCTTTGTCAGCAAGGGATCGTAGTTTAGTGCCATAATCCCTTCTAAATTCAAGCACACATCAAGATACTTCATACCTATAGGAACCCATTTGAAACCAAAACCTGTTAACATGTGAGAGTAGCATATTTTTGTTATTGGCAATGCCTCTGATTTTCTCCAGTTTACTTTGTAGCCAGACACAATTGAGTATGATTCTATTACCACCATCAGTAGTGGTTAAGAAGTGAACGGATCACTCATTAATAACAAAATGTAATCGGCATAGAGCATTAGTTTCTGTTCTATATCTTTGTCTATCCCTTGAACCCATAGATATTTGGGTCCTTCCTAATCTTAATAGCCAAAGGTTCCAGTACCATGGTAAAAAGGATTTGGGGACAATGGGACGATGGGGACAGTGGGCAACCTTGGCGGGTGCCCCTAGATACTGTGAAAAATGAAGACATCATACCATTGGTCATTACTGCTGCTCTCGGGTTCTGATACAGCAAACAATCAATGCTCTGAAGATCTTGCCTAAGGTTTTACAAACAAAAATGTTTTGTTTTCCATCCATCCATCCATTATCAATACCGCTTATTCCCTCATGGGGTCGCAGGGGGAACTGGAGCCTATCCCAGTGGTCAACGGGCGAGAGGCAGGATACACCCTGGACAGTCCGCCAGTCCATCGCAGGGCCACACATAGGACATACAAGGACAAACAACCACTCACACTCACATTCACTCCTAAGGGCAATTTCCCCAATCTCCAATCAGCCTAACATGCAGGTTTTTGGACTGTGGGAGGAAGCCGGAGTACCCGGAGAGAACCCACGCAGACACAGGGAGAACATGCAAACTCCACCCAGAAGGGTCCTGGTTCCCCCGGGATTCGAACCCAGAACCCTCTTGCTGGGAGGCGACAGTGCTAACCACCACACCACCGTGCCGCCATGTTTTGTTTTTACAAACAAAAAATTCCACTGACCTAAGTCGAACCCTGTCTGCGCGTCTAATGATAGCGCCACCCCTGGCGTACTTTCAGAGTAGTTTTGCCACATAAGACGCACTAATCTCCTTGAATTGTCGGCTGATGATCTTCCTTTTATAAAAACTAAGACTTCTGCCAATATTTTGCAGTCCACATTTAAAAGACTAACTGTCTAAAGTTTGGCTCAGTTGTGTCCCGATCCCTCTCAGGTAATAGTGTTATAATTGCTTCCATAAGTGAGTCAGGCAAACAATTAACTTGCTACAGCAAGAACCTCAGTCAGTATTGGGGCCAGCGTATCTACAAATTTCTTGTAGTATTCAATAGGGAGTCCATCTGAACCTGGGGAATTCCCAGGTTTGCATTTCTCACTTCTTCCTCCGTAATGGGTTGGTCTAATGACTTTGTTTGTGATGCGTCTAATGTAAGATACATATTTGCAAACACTGATTTAATTTTTCTTCATCTGCATTACAAGAGCCTGTATATAGTTGCTTATAGAATGTTTGGAAGACGCTATTTGTTTCTTTTGTGGTTGAGACTACATTATCCCCTTTCCTAATTGCTGGAATTATGTTTGCAGCATTTTGTTGTTCTAGCTGCCAAGAGAAAAGTTTGCCTGTTTTTTCATGTCCTTCATAAAATCTTGTCTGTAACTTGAACAATGCATGTTCAGCTTTGGTATTATACAAGTCATGTAACTGGTACTTATATTAAAAAATCTCCTGGTATAGCTCGTCCAAATACTGCCTGGCTAGATTCTTTTCCAGAGTACATATTTTCATTTCTAGGTCACTGAGAATTTCTCTTGGTTCCTTTTTCATTTTAGCTTCACGTTCCTTGGATGTAGGCCTTAGACACGTGCAAAACTGAGGATAGTCTCTCTGTGCTTCCTATGTTTAAGTAAAAAAAGGAGATCAGATCTTCGGCCAGCATTGTGCAAAATGTTTCGTCCCATAATATTGAAGTATTTAATCTCCATCTTCCTTTTCTGCCTATATCTGGGTTCAGAATGATATCCAGTTCAACCGCAGCATGATCTGACAATGCAATTGGTCTGATTTTACAGTTAATGACATTATTATTATCATCTTGTGACAGTAAGAAAAAGTCCATCCTTGAATGGGATTTTTGGGAATGTGAGAAGAAAGTGTTTTCCCGTTGCTTTGGATTAACTAATCTCCATATGTCATTTAGACCTAGATCCTCCACCAGCATATGACGGGCAGCCCTGTCCTTTGGCATGGGTTTTCCCTGATATTTATTCTTGTCCAAAATACCATCCATAACCTGGTTAAAGTCCCCAGCCAGGATTACTTGCCCACTTTTACTCCCCAAAATGGTATTTAAATTATGGATTGATGGATGATTACTCCATTCTGTTTGCCAGAGAGTGAAAAACATGTCCCACCCATTCTCATTTGAATTTTAGCACTTCTGTATCCCTTACATAACTTTCTTGTACAAAGGCTATATCGGGCTGTTTTTGTTTTAGATAAGATAACACCTTTCGCCTTTTGATTGGATTTTCGCAGTCGTTAATATTCCACATATATGACTACCTTTTAACATAAATCATGTGATACATGTCTTAACTCTGAAGGTCACTGCTGATATTATAAAATCTCAGATAGTTATAGTAGCTGAAAAGGGAAACGTTTATAAGTTAAATTAGAATTTTTATATGAATGTTGAAGGGTGTGGAAGTAATTTGAAGGTGTTTGAAGACTGCTGATTGTTTCACATGAACCCTCAATCTCAACATTCTATCTTCTTCCCATAAACTCACATAAACTCAAACTCACATAAGATTGAGGTTCTTTTCTTTAAAATATTTCTTGCAATTCAATAAAACAAATTTGCACAGATTATCACAATCATATCTCTGTGTGAGACAGTACTGGTGATTACTCTCACAGACCTCTTATATACTGGTCCATTTTATTAAGATGACATTAAGACAGTCATTATTCATGTACAATTAATATGAACAATTCATTGTTTACAAACTTAAGACAGATGCTTTCACCACTGTGTTTGGTCACCTCTTTTCCTATTTTTTAAGTAATTGGGAACTTAAGGGACAAAAACCATTTCCTTTTCATCAATAAAGAATTACATTGGATTTGCTGCGTAGAAACTTCTGGGGAAACAGATGATTGCCAGAGCCAGATACTGGCCAATGCATAATAAGCTGCACAAAATATCCCAGTTGATATTTAGGGCAAATTTAATTCAAATTAGGGACTTATATTGTGATGAGAGTGTCTTGTAAGACTCTTTGTGCTTTGACAACAACACTTACCTGCTCCAGTTTCCAGTGGAACTCTGCTGGTCGGAGGGTATCCACCTGAGTGAAGTCTCGCCGCAACAGGAATACTAGTCGGCAATTATGGACATAAAGCGAGTAATGATGGCGATTCATCTCTGTAGGAAATAAAAAAAAACAGGTGTAAGCATCATTTACCAACACACCATAGCTTTTCAGCCTTTTCATGTCCACACATATACGCGATAATATGTGCTAAAAGCCCTACGGTAAAGTCAGAGTTTGCTTGATACATGTTACATTAAAGGAAGTCTGTAACATACGTAGAGACTCAAAGTATGTACTGTATACTAACATGAGTAAAATAACCAGTATTCTATTGACTTGATATACGATGACACAGCTTATTAACTTGATTCAGTACCATACAAACACTTAAGCTAGAGAGCTATAAACAATACGTAAATTTAGTTGGTAAAACTTATTTTTTCTGATATTTTGCTGCATTACTCTCAAGATACAATCTTTGAAATGTAGGACCCAATGTATAAGGTACGACCAGATACTGCTGGACATGGAAGATGCATTTTTAGGGCCGAATATGATCTCTGTAAATGCTTCCAAACTGGCATGAAGATGTAATGATGATCTAATGAGATATATCCCGTTTAAATTTTCATATTAGAATTTTCTGTTAAAAAATATAAGTAGAGCTTATTTCCCAAAGATTCTAAAAAAAAGAGACAGGTTTGCAGTTTCAATGGTGGATTAATACACATTTAACTTAAATGGCCCACTGACTTCCAGAGAACTGTAGTGATATGACTAATAGTTGAATAAGATAGACAAAAAGTATTAATCCATTGCTCATTTTGGTCTCCATTTGGGATTTACAGATAAGGAAGCTCAAAAATGAAAAATGACTCACCAGTTTTATCTGAGTTGCAGAGTAGTGTCTCCTTCTCAGCTCTGAGCCCAGGGCTAGGCCCATGCTTCATCCATGTTGCTATGGTGAACTGGTCTGTCAGATTCTGGGGAACAACCCAGTCTGGTATTTTTGCTGCCTGATGACCATCAAATCTGAAGATCAAATCACTGTCCCTGCCGCTGTCAGACACCAAAGAAGCTGTCCAATTGGTGGCAACACTTGGGGCTGGAAGAAGGTCAGTGCTGCCAGATGAGGCACCTGGGGGTCATCATCATGGGAACAAATGAGGAGAGCTGGACAAAATGTGTCCATAAAAATCACTGTAGCCATGTGGCGTATATTGTCATAACCTTGGCTATGATAGCCTACAAGTAAGGCGGATGGTAGTGCTTAATATGTAATCAATGGGCCCTTATGAATGGAAAGGCGAGATCAGAGTCATCATTCATAAATTCTGAACATAGCTTATTCTCAGTAGGTGAAACCCCTATACCACCATGGAAACTGAAAGGACATTAAGTACAAATCATGGATACACCCACTGAAGAAAAAAAGATGCCGATGCACTTGGGGAAAGAGGAACAAACATGTGGCCATTGACATAGATAGTTTCAGCTGACACCTTTGTTATATGATCCCCCATATATCGTGACAAAATCCATTGCTGCACTGCATGATGTAATTCTATTATCTTGTGCTTTAAAATTATTCATTCATTCCTTTTGCACAACTGTAGTGTTCAGTTCTGAACAATCTTTCACCTTGACAAAGATGACATTTTCTGTACTGAACATATCTGAAATGCTCATACCCATAATTCTTTGCCTTTCTATGTAACATAGAAACATGTATTCCATGCAAGTAAACAAAATTTGTGAATGGTCGAACTGACTACAGATGATTTACAATAAAAGTTGTTCAGATATAAATGGCCACTGTCTGAAATTACAAAAATCTCACACTGACGCCTGCGCACAGCATCGCGAGACTTTTAGACACAGCTTTGAAGCGATCCTGGCGTAAGCGTTCCTGGCGTAAGCGTAGCGTAAGTTTGCCTAAGCACCAATAGTTCTTTCCATCTGGGGTGACTGCTGTTCTGTCTTATAGCGGATGTAACAAAAGTTCCGGTGGCCAACTCTACCGTACTTTTGTTTAGCCGTTAGCGACTTTAACAGCTAGCGATGGCTTCTCCCTCTCGCTCTCCTGCTCTCTCTTGCTCGGTGTGTCTGATGTTTAGTTACTCCTCTGCCTCCTTTAACGGTAGTGGTATGTGTAACAAGTGTAGTTTATTTCTAGACATGGAGGCGAGGCTCAGTGCGTTAGAAGCTCGGCTCCGCACCGTAGTAGCGCAGCCCTTAGCTAGGCTAGCTAAGTGTAGCCAGTCCCAGGTAGTCGGTGCGGACCGACCTGAGTTAGCTGATAGCCCTTCCCCCCCCTCCCCCCCTCCGGCCTCTCCTGAGCAGCCAGGAAAAGGAAGCTGGGTGGCTGTCCGAGGGAGGAATAGCCGTAAAAAGTCTAAGCCCCTAGTGTCCCCTCAATCTGTTCGCGTTGCTAACAGATTTTCCCTACTCAGCGAGCCACCCGCTGAGAAACCGACCCTAGTCATAGGCAGCTCGATTCTGAGGAATGTGAAGCAGCACACCCCAGGGAGTGTAGTTAAGTGTATTCCTGGGGCCAGAGCGGGCGACATTGAGTCTTATTTGAAACTTCTGGCTAAGGGTAGACGTAAATACAGTAAGATTGTTATCCACGTAGGCGTTAATGACTCCCGGTTACATCAGTAAGAAGTCACTAAGTTAAATGTGGAGTCAGTTTGTAGATATGCTAGAACAATGTCGGACACCGTAGTTTTCTCTGGCCCCTTGCCCAACCTGGTTAGTGATGACATGTTTAGCCGCATGTCATCTTTCCGTCGATGGCTGGCAAGGTGGTGCCCAGCCAATGATGTGGTCTTTGTGGATCACTGGCAGTCTTTCTGGGGAAGACCTGGCCTGATTAGGAGAGACGGCATCCATCCCACGGGGGAGGAGAAACCTAGCCAACATTGTTAGCAGACTAGATCGGTGACAGTCCAGGGTTGAGAGGAGGAAGCGGAGTTGTAATGTAACCCTCTTCTCTGCTCCTCCATTCCAGGAGTTACTTAGTGAAAAACCTATACCCCCGGTCATTGAATTTTTTTAAAATTAAGGGTAAACAGAGGAGTTGTCCATAAAAACCTCATAAAAGTTAAAACCACAAAAGAAATAGTGCATGCAAATAAGAGAGTAAAATGTGGACTCTTGAATATCAGATCTCTCTCTTCTAAAGGTGTGCTTGTAAATGAACTCATATCAGATTATAAGATTGATTTATTTTGTCTCACTGAAACTTGGCTGGGTGATGGAGAATATGTGAGCCTAAATGAATCCACCCCTACCAGTCATAGGAATACTCACATTCCTCGAAGCACAAGTCGTGGAGGTGGAGTTGCAGCTATCTTTGACTTCAGTCTTGTAATCAGCTCTAAAGCTAAATTGAACTATAACTCTTTTGAAAGCCTTGTTCTGAGTCTTTCCCACCCAAGCTGGAAATCACTGCAACCTATTCTATTTATTATAGTGTACCGACCACTCGGTCCATACTCTGAATTCTTATCTGAATTTGCAGAGTTTTTGTCAACTTTAGTCCTCAAAACGGACAAAGTAATTATTGTAGGGGACTTTAATATCCATGTGGATGTTGAGAATGACAGCCTCAGTACTGCATTTATCTCTCTGTTCCATTGGCTTCTCTCAGAGTGTTCATGAACCGACTCACTGTTTTAACCACACCCTTGACCTTGTTCTGGTGTATGGTATTGAAATTGAATATTTAATAGTGTTCCCACATAATCCGTCTTTATCTGACCACTGTTTGCTAACTTTTGAGCTTTTACTGCTCAATTACCCTCCACTGGGTAAAACTGTCTACTCAAGATGCCTGTCTGATAGTGCTATAGCTAAATTTAAGGATGTGATTCCATCAGCTCTAAATCCATTATCAAGTCGTACAGAAACAGAGGACTCTTATGTTAATTTCAGTCCTTCCCAAGTTGATCATCTTGTTGATAGTGTTGAAGGCTTGCTGCGAACAGCACTTAACGCTGTAGCCCCCCTAAAGAAGAAAATACTTAAAGACGGTTAGTTCCATGGTATACTAGTGAAACCCGCAAATTAAAGCAGATATCTCGGACACTTGAGAAGAACTGGCGTTCAACCAAGCTGGAAAAGTCTTGTTTATCTTGGCAAGATAGTCTTAAAGCTTATAGGAAGGCCCTCCGTGATGCCAAAGCAGCATATTACTCGTCTTTAATTAAGGAAAATAGGAACAATCCTAGGTTTCTTTTCAGCACTGTTGCCAGGCTGACTGAGAGCCACAGCTCTATTGAATCAAGTATTCCAATAGCTCTCACTAGCCATGACTTCATGAGCTTCTTGGAGCCCATCCCGACAAGGTTGCTTAAAGAAGTCCTACCCTTAGTCAGTACTTCTCTGCTAGACTTGATCAATCTGTCCTTATTAACAGGCTATGTGCCACAGTACTTTAAAGTAGCTGTAATTAAACCTCTTTTGAAAAAGCCTAACCTGGACCCAGATGTTTTAGCCAACTATAGACCTATATCCAACCTTCCATTCATCTCCAAGGTCCTGGAGAAAGCAGTAGCCAAACAGCTGTGTGACTATCTACATAGCAATAGCTTGTTTGAGGATTTTCAGTCAGGATTTAGAGCTCATCATAGCACAGAGACCGCACTGATGAAAATTACTAATGACCTCCTAATGGCATCAGACAAAGGACTCGTCTCTGTCTTGGTTTTATTAGACCTTAGTGCTGCTTTTGACACCATTGACCATCAGATCCTACTACAGAGACTGGAACATTTCATCGGCATTAAAGGAAACACTCTATCAACTTTCATTGCTATGCAGATGATACTCAGTTATACCTATCGATCAAGCCAGATGAAACTCATCAGCTAGCTAAGCTTCAAATGTGTCTTCAGGATGTTAAAACCTGGATGACCTGCAATTTTCTAAGGTTAAATTCAGCTAAAACTGAAGTTATTGTTCTAGGGCCTAAACACCTTCGTGACGCATTATCTAGAGATATAGTTTCCCTGGATGGCATCGCCCTGGCCTCCAGCACCACTGTGAGAAATCTTGGAGTTATCTTCGATCAGGACATGTCATTTAACTCTCACATTAAGCAAATTTCAAGAACCGCCTTCTTTCACCTTCGTAATATCGCAAAAATTAGGAGCATCCTGTGTAAAAATGATGCAGAAAAACTAGTCCATGCATTTGTTACTTCTAGGCTGGATTACTGCAATTCCCTGTTATCAGGGTCTTCAAAAAAGTCTATTAGGACTCTTCCGCTGATCCAGAATGCTGCAGCACGTGTTCTTACAGGAACCAAAAAAAGAGATCATATTTCTCCTGTCTTGGCTTCTCTGCACTGGCTTCCTGTTAAATCCAGAATAGAATTTAAAATCCTTCTCCTTACGTACAAAGCTCTTCATGGTCAGGCCCCATCTTATCTTAAAGAGCTCTTAGTACCTTACTGCCCCACCAGAGAACTGCGCTCCCAGAATGAAGGGTTACTGGCAGTTCCTAGAGTCTTGAAAACTAGAATGGGCGCTAGAGCATTCAGCTATCAGAGTCCTCTTTTGTGGAACCAGGTTCCAGTTTGGGTCCGGGAAGCAGACACGTCTCTATATTTAAGAGTAGGCTTAAGACTTTCCTTTATGATAGAGCTTATAGTTAGAGTAAGTCCACCCCTGGTTGTGCTGCTATAGGCCTAGACTGCCGGGGGATGCATCATGTCTACGTGTTGCTGTGTTGGCTGCCTCTCTCTGCTCCCTCTGTCCTTCTCTCGCCCTCTCTCTCTCTCTCTCTCTCTTGCCCTCTCTTTCCCCTCACCCCCAACCGGCCGAAGCAGATGGCCGCCCACCCTGAGCCATGGTTCTGCTCAAGGTTTCTGCCTGTTAAAAGGAAGTTTTTCCTTGCCTGTGTTGCCTAGTGCTTGCTCATGGTGGGAATTGTTGGGTTTCTGTAATTATCTTCAGAGTAGGGTCTGACCTGCTCTGTTTGGAAAGCGCTGTGAGACAACTGTTGTTGTGATGTGGCGCTATACAAATAAAATTTAATTGAATTGAATTGAACATGTCCAAGCAAACAAATTTAATAGACATTTGTCCACTTCTGATTATAACACGACATTAGCACATGTTTTTCTCCCATCTCTAAAGCACTGTTTTTCTCTACGGCATGTTTAAGGTTTCCTAGGGATCAGATGAAGCACCGCCCAAAAGACCCCTTATGATGAATAACATGAATGGGCTAAGTGTACTGTAGCCCGGTCACCGGGGCCCCGCTCTGGAGCCAGGCCCAGAGGTGGGGGACGTTGGCGAGTGCGTGCGTACCTATGGAGCCTGGCCGGGCTCAGCCCAAAGAGGCCACATGGGTCCCCCCCATTGGGCTCAGCACCCATAGGAGGGGCCAAAGGGGTCGGGTGTAGTGTGGAACGGGTGGCAGCGGGAGTCGGGGACCTTGGCGAACCGATCCTCGGCTGCAGAAGCTGAGTCTAGGGACGTGGAATGTCACCTCTCTGGTGGGGAAGGAGCCTGAGTTGGTGTGTGAGGTGAGGAGATTCCGGCTGGATTCCGGTCTCGCATCGATGCACAGCTCTGGCTCTGGAACCAGCCTTCTTGAGAGAGGTTGGATGCCCTTCTACTCCGGGGTTGCCCCTGGTGAGAGGCGCCAAGCAGGAGTGGGCATACCTGTTGTCCCCCATCTTGGTGCCTGCAGGTTGGGTTTCATCCCGGCATGCGGCTCGGGCCGAGGCAAAGCTCGGGTCTGAGAGGAGTTAGGGGAGGACATGGAAATAGACTTCCGTATGGCTTTAAGGCGATTCTGGTCCACCATCCGGCATCTCAGGGGGGGAAAGCAGTGCTCCACCAACACCGTTTACAGTGGGGGTGGTGTGCTGTTGACCTCAACTCGTGACGTTGTGGGTCAGTGGGTGGAGTACTTTAAAGACCTCCGCAATCAAATTGGCACGTCTTCCATTGGAGGGGCAGAGCCTGGTGATCTGGAGTCGGGCTCTCCAATCTCTGGGGCAAAAGTCACCAAGGCGGTCAAAAAGCTCAGCAGTGGCAAGGCTCCAGGGGAGGAAGAGATTCGGTCAGAATTCCTCAGGGCTCTGAATGTTGTGGGGTTGCATTGGCGACTGTACCCCGACTCTGCAACTTCGCTTGGATATCAGGGGCATAACCGCTGGACTGGCAGACTGGGATGGTGGTTCCCCTATTTAAAAAGAGGGACCGAAGGGTTTGTTCCAACTACAGGGGGATAACACTCTTCAGCGTCCCTGGGAAGGTCTATTCGGCGGTTCTGGAGAGAAGGATCCGTCGGATAGTCGAACCTCGGATTCAGGAGGAACAGTGCAGTTTTTTTCCTGACCATGAAACGCTGGACCAGCTCTATACCCTCAGCCGGGTCCTGGAGGTTGTGTGGGAGTTCACCCAACCAGTCCACATGTGTTTTATAGACTTGGAGAAGAGGTACGACCTTGTCCCTCGAGGTATCCTGTGGGGTGTGCTCCGGTAGTATGGGGTACTCCCGGAGCACTTTGTTATGGTCTATTACAGGGGTCGGCAACCCAAAATGTTGAAAGAGCCATATTGGACCAAAAAAAAAATGTCTGGAGCCGTGAAAAATATATATATGAAGGCAACACATGCTGTATTACCTATATTAGCCTACCATCAAAATTACTAAGTTGGCTACAAATACACAATGAACCTGCATGATTAAATGTGATCATGATCATTTCTTTTTGTGGCCCATCAGAGTTTACATACCTGCATAAAAGCGCAGTCTGTTCAGTATCGATCACATCACACGACTCATCACAGGCAGCTGAGTATGCTAGAATTAATGTCCTTGATTTGCTGATCGGTGATGTTGCCTGACTTTTTATTGGCCCTTTCCTTCACTGTCTTAGCGGAGAGAGGCATGTATTTGATTTTCTTTATTATCTCAGTTTTGTTTTTTGTCAGCAAATAGGTGTTCTGATAGGAATGTCCCGATCCAGCTTTTTGCACTTCCGATCCCGGCCTATCAGAGCATGTACTAAAGTTTAAAGTTATTTAGCCTACTTACTTAGTTGTCAAACTCATGTTGAACTGTGGGTCAGGAGATGTAAAGCTGGTGTGGGATCGGACTGGATCTGGAGTCTGGATCGGCGTTTTCTTCTGCCGATCTGATCCAGATATCGGATCGGGACAAGCCTAGTTCTGATATGTCGATGAATGACTCTTTCATGTAGTCACCATCTGTGAACAGTTTTCTACGCTTTATTATTTCCCGGGTTGCAATAAAACTTGCAGCAGTAGTGGAGTTTGGAGATGCAATCCACTTCTGAAAATCAATTTTTGCGCTCCTCTAATTTCTCCAGAAGTAATGCAACTTCTGACAACTTCTTACTACATAACAAACATTCAAACAATCCTTCCGCATTGCCAATGAATGAAAATGATCCAAGAAACTTTGAATCCTCTTTTCTCCTCAGTTAGTTTTTCTCTTTTTCCCTTTGGGATCCATGGACCCTCACACAGCCACCTGCCTGGCATACTGCCCTGCTGATTGAAACTTGGCTCGCAGGCTTTGTCGCAAATTTTTGTGGACAGACATTTTTTAATTCAATGTTTATTCTACGCATTTTCACAGCATTGGAAAATGTTAAGAATGTTTGTGTTATGTTTGTCATCCAACAAAAATATATATTTCCTTCCCCCATCTTTTTCCATTTCCAAACATTTTTGAAAAAGCTTCAGGGAGCCACTAGGGGAGAGCATGCGGCTCCAGAGCAGCAGGTTGCCGACCCCTATTAGGTCCCTGTACGACCCGAGTCAGAGCTTGGTTCGCATTGCCAGTAATAAGTTGGACCTGTTTCCGGTGAGAGTTGGACTCCGCCAAGGTTGCCCTTCACCCCCAGTTCTGTTCATAATTTTACAGAATTTCTAGGCGTGGGAACACCTTTGGAACCCCCTGGAGGAGCTGGCAGAAGTGGCGGGGGAGAGGGAATTCTGGGTTTACCTACTTCAGCTGCTGCCCCCGCAACCCGACCCCGGACAAACGGTGGAAAATGGATGGATGGATGGATGGATAGATTCCCTTGGTGAATAAATACAGATCGACTTCTGCAGCACCCAGCTGCAACTGCCTCTTTGCCAAGTGTCTTTGTACATTATCTGAAATTGATTTTGAATTAAAAAGGTAATTACAATGAATTCTATTTGCTATCAGATAATGATTATGAGATGCCTGAAAAAGGCCTCTTTAGTGGTTAACCATGCATCAACTGGGAGCCAGGGAGGAGATGTGATGCATTCTGATAAGATGGAATGTGGCTTGTGAATGCTGTTAGTCAAAGACTCAAGCCTTCCTGCTGGCAACAAGCTGGAGGTGTGGGGATGGTTTGTGTGTGTGTGAGTTTGGCTCCATTGCTGGAGCTCTGGTCAGTGACACAGAAGCTCAGCTTTTCAACAGTCCCTAAGAAAAAAGCATGGCTGCATCTCGCCTTCTATCCCTCACTTCATTAGTGACACGGTTTTAACGTGCCATTCTGGTGCCAGGGGGTATACCAGGGACACAATTGGAGTGTAACACAGACTGACATGAAGCTTTCATTTGCTAATTCAAGACAAAATCATAGAAAGACACCTCAGAAATCATCAAACACCGGTGATTCAGAACTACTTTTTCCCCCACTCCAACTTTTATCTGTCAGCATGTAGACTTTCTATATGTCTAGCATTACTTCAGCAGTCTCATACTTCTGCATGTGAAAACCAAAAGACAGTCTCAATGTTTTTGTTACTTACTGGTGATAGTGATGAAAAAGATTGTGAAAAATTAAACAAACCACAGAGTTTCTGAAGAGATTTTTCAGAGTAGGTCTCCCGGTCACAGCCTTTTCCAATGTGACTAGTCTGCAGCTCCACCGTGGTCCTCAATGATGACAGAGGCTCCCCACAGGTCTCAAGGTGCATCTTAGGAAACAACTGCTTACTGCCTGTTCCTGGCTCATAGTCCACTCGTTTATTCAAGCCTGGGGAGAAAAGAGATGGTCCATTTTTTTTTGACAGAGGGACCACCATCTGGGTGTAAATTATAATCTGTAACACTTTGGGAATTAAATAAACCCACTTGTTGTCATTATTGCTCATTTTCAGCCTCATTTTGTCCATGTAGAACAGAATCAAAACAAGATACCACTGTGAATTTCTTCCTGTGATTAGCATTCATTAAAAATTGTTGTTGGAGTGAAGTGCAGTACCCATATTAACAGCAATAATGACTGTGCAGAAACCTCCAGTCAGCTATGAAATATGTTTTTCTGTCTGGACTGACTATTTTATTGGAAAGTGGTGGCTTGTTTTTCAGTCACTATCCCCCATGTGTAGCGGTGTGAATATTCATTTTGTAGTCTACCAAAGACTTAACCATTCTATGAACTGCTGAATAAACAACAGTGTTTAATTATCATTATTATATATATATATTTTTTTTTACAAATTGCTCATATATAGTAGCTGTCAGTATACATTTGCCATAATTGCTTTGTAACATATAATCGCCTTACAGCAAAAACATGCATTATAATTGACAAAATAAGATCTATACAAGCTATAACTCAGAATTATCTTGGAAGCCAAACCTAATCCATTACATCAAATCCTGGTAAGATAGTCCTGGTGTGTGAAACAGAGAAACAGAAACACGGTGGCAGCAGTTTGGCTGCAAAAAATGACAGTGCATCTACATAAGGATGAGGTATCAAAGCTTCTCACAGGCAGCCGCCCTACATCCTGCCTACTGGATCCACCCTCCTGCAAGCCATAGCTCCAACCGTTCTCCCTCATGGGATCAATTCTTCACTAACTACAGGAGCATTCCCTACTGCCTTCAAACAATTTCACTACTCAAAAAGCTCTCCCTCGCCCCCACTCAAGTGTAAAATACCAACGTCTCCTTCTTTCCCTTCCAGTCAAAAATGATTGAATGGCTGTCTCAAAGCTGGTCAAAAAAATTCCTCTCCCAACATAACCTCCTTGATTCTGACCGGCTTAAAGAGTGGCCACTCCATGCAAACCGCGCCCCTGTCAGAATCCTTGAAAGAAGCCAAAGCGAAGGGGACAATCTACAGCTCTCATCCTGCTGGACCTATGAGCATCATTTGATACTGTAGACCACGACATCCCACTAAACAAGCTGACAGACATGGGCATCGAGGGCGTTGCACACTCTTGGTTTGAATCTTACCTACCTGGACCACCCTTCAAGGTGTCTTGGCAAAGCCAGACATCGACGTGACACCATCTCACCTAAGGGGTGCCCAAAGGCTCAGTGTTGGGTCCCCTCCTCTTTGCTATGTACACCACTTCACTGGTGTCTGATCATCCGGTCACATGGCTTCTCCTATCACTGCTATGCAGATGACACGATCTCCATACGATCTCTCAGCACCAGAGCGAATCTCATAATGACATATATGCATGATAAAAGATCACCACCTTCAATTGGATCTCTCCAAAAGTGAACTGCTCGTCATCCCAGCCGAGCAAACTATTCAGCACAATATCAGGATCAGGTTAGACTCACGATCTGTGCAAGGCTGCAAGAATCCGCGTGTCATGATTGATGATCAGCTGACCTTCGCGGATCATGTTCATGATGAAGTTTAAGATGGCACCGCTGTGTGTATCCCGCCGCTTACCTCTACTAGGATTATTGTTTCTACTGTTCGTCACTCAAAATGTGTCACCGCTGCTGGTGTGACCGCACATGACCGCATGACTCTTTTAAGTATATGTAAGTATGCAGAGAAAGTTTCAATCTACAGCTCTGATGGTCAGTCAGGTACGCTGCCGCCACCCTTCCTGGCGTCCATTCTGGCGTCAGCCCTGTTTGCTTCTCCGCAATAGTTGCAGCAGGAGACGCGGTGAGAGAGGAGGAGTACGTGTCAGGTTCAGAGCATACCTGGCATCATCCTCCACCTGCTATCTGGGCCATCCATGTGTCCAATCTTCCATGGAGTTCATTGGCTTCAATCTGCGGCACAATTATCGATGGCTCCGGCAGACTATACTGGACTCCAAGTGCCTTTCTCCCTGCTGCTGGAGCAGGAAGCGCCCCAAGCGGGGCTGTGTCCAGGAATCTCTGCCAGCTCAGATGTTCTTACAAACTGAAAGGCACTCGATTCGGATGGCGTTGATCAACACTAGATCTCTAACAAATAAGACGTTTATATTGAATTATTTTTTCACGAACAATGCCCTGGAATTTCTGTTAGTGACAGAAACCTGGCTGAAATCAGGTTACGACAGCGCCTTCTTGGAGCTCCTGCTCCTCAGCCCTCCTTTCCTCAACTCCCCAAGTGTGTCAGGTCGAGGTGGTGGGCTAGCATACTCTCTTCAAAGAAAAGTACAGATGCAGGCTATTACCTGCACTTAGTTATATTAGTTTTGAACTTCAGCTGTTTGTGGCTGGTCTGGATTCTCCTGTGTTGTATGCAGTTGTTTACCACCCACCAAAACTCAAGAAGGATTTTATGTGAGTTTTTAGCTGATGTTGTTCCTGAATACGACAAGCTCCTAGTTTGTGGGGATTTCAATATCCATGTGTGTTGTCCCTCAAACCCACTTGCTCATGATTTTAAAACATGTTTGAACTCTTTTGTTCTTACCAATGTGTGGAAGGGCCGACACATCATCTACGCCACACCCTGGATCTCATCATCTCCTATGGGCTCTCAGTTTCACTTGGAGAAATGACTGAAACTGGTATCAAAGACCACTTCCCCGTTATGTTTGATGTAAGTGACACCACAAGGTGTCTCAGACAAGCTGAGCGAAGATGGAAGAAAGACTATTTACATGTGTCACTGGGTATATTAAGGGACAGTCTAGCCACATACCAGAGTGCTGTGAAGATGGCGAAGATGAGGCATTTCTCTTGTAGCTAGCAGTTGCCATGAACCTATAGTGTTATTTAATACTATTAACTCTCTCAAAAATTTGTGCTCCTCTGCTCCGACATTCATTGACAAAATAGCATCAGGAAACTCACCAGTGCTAATTTTAAGGTGTTTTTTTTACCTGCTTTATCCTACACATTCAGATGTGTTTGAGGAATCTAAGCCAGTTTTTCTGATGTTACTTTGTGAGGTTGTACAAAACATGAAACCTGCCAACTGTCCCTTAGGCGTTTTGCCCATAATAATGGTGAAGGAGGTTTTGAATACCATTGAGGCTAGTCTTCTTACTCTTATCAATTCCTGTCTTACTTTAGGTTTGGTCCCAGCTGACTCTACAGTGCTGTCCATTTGAATACCAGTCTCTCAACTGCATTTTCTTTCGAAGGTTCTAGAAGATTTTTTTTTAATGCAGTTACAAGTCTTTTTACAGTTAAATGTCAATCTGGTTTTAGATCACGTCAGAGCACTGCGTCTGCACTGTTGAGGGTCCATAATGCCTTGTTGCCTTGCTGAAAATGGTTCTGTGCGTATGGAAACGGAATGTATTTTATCTGCACCCTTAACTTTTTATCTATAGGCTATAATTATTATTATTTTTATTTTCTTGTTTTTCTGCATTTAAAATCTTAGTGAAGCACTTTGAATTGTCTTGTACACAAAATGTGCTATACTAATAAACTTGCCTTACCCTATCTGTAGATGCTGGGAAATCCTACTGTTTTGGTCCCTTTGGACCTCATGGCGGCGTTTGACACAGTGGACCGTGCGGTCCTCCTCTTACGCCTTAAGAATTGTGTAGGCATCAGAGGCTCGGCACTCAAATGGTTCTGCTCCTCTTAAGAAGGATGCAACATTGCATGCACAGTTGAGGCTGACGCATCCTGGTTTGGCTGCGTAGTAATCAAGCCACACCGCTGCAAATAAATGTTGGATGAGACAGGATTAGCTAGTGTTCTTAACAATAATTAGAAAATGTGATTTAGGACCACAACTTTTATTTTTAATTTTAAGGGTAACAAGGTAAAAGTAAGACAAGGAAATTATTATATTTTCATTAAAAAAAATAATGGATTCAACATTGGGAACTACTATTTCGGTCAAAGTTGAGGGAGATTAAGGAGATTAAACTTGGTGAGTGTGTGTACTGTTGAGATTCTTGTTATAACTGTGTTCTGTGCAACCAAAAGAAAACCCACTTATCACATTAGTGGGTCACATCGCAATGCAATGTGTGTGCTGTAAGGCACACTTTTCTCATCATGTTAGTTTTCAAATGATGGGGAAACGGTGAACAGAAGCAAAAGCTAATCTAAATTAAAATATTAATCATTTTGCAGAAACTTGATGTTATTCTATGTTTTAGTTATTAACAGTTTTCTTATCTTATACCTAGCTAACGAGGGGCCATAGCTCAATTTGTTTTTAATTGTACAAATCTAACTAATCATCTAATGCCTCTAAAAACGTACTCATTCAGTGAATGATGATCCACCCCAACACAATGCTTACCTGTCTCTTTTAAGCAATTCATTCCGATTCATGCATCAACTATACTCTGTACAAGAAACCATTTTAAATAAAAATAAAAAATCAATTTAATTTTTTTTCACAGAATTTCTCAATCTCTCAATGAAATAATTAATACAAGAAAATGTTTATGGAAACATAGAAACTGAATACATAACCAGTATTCAGTTTCTATACTTTCAACAGTCTAGGAACTCTTACCTTAAGAAGCAAAGAACTAAAACCTCATCTGACAGGTTTTGGTGTTAGCTAAATTATTTAGCTCAATTTAGAGCTCTCTAAGACCCTGCCCTTCCCATTTCTAACAGAGCCTAACCTAGGGTTTCTTGACAACCGATGCTGCCTGAGTCCTCGTCCACAATGTCAGTCAGTAGGACATACATCTGGCTTGTATGCGCCTGGCTCTTTGTACTGCCTGTTCACCTGCCAGTGAAATGTTTGCTCCAGGTCATTGACCTGCCATTGATGAGCTATCACCTGGCCGCA